GTTGAGTATTTTTAGAGGTAGAATACGCCTAAAAAATTTGAGCCAAATCGATAACTTGTGACCGACAACTGTTCGTTTTACCCGTGGAATCCCTCTTTAATTTAATACGATAAAATTTTCATCCTTTCAGCGATGATTGGGAAAAATTAGATTTGTACAAGTATTATAAGGACTAAAATACAGCAAGTAAACGAAAAGAAGAGGATACAAATGTCGCTGTTAAGGAATTAATTAATTAATTATCTTTTATTGCCATCAAAAGTTTAAGAACCTTCTCTTTATACATTCAGTTTCAGTTGCCTCTTTTCTCAGTCCATTCTTACGTTCTCGCCTTCATCCACTATTCCAGAATTTCTCGTAAGGATCATTTCGGTGGACTTTGTTATTTTTATCTAAACTGACCTATGATATTGTACTGCAAATTGAACGTCTGTGAAGAGAGAAAAATCAGAAATAATTAAAAATTGGCATTAAAAAATCTAGAAGTAGAAAGGATAAAGGGATAGGATTGAAGCCCGACTGCGCCAAGTTTTTTCTTAGCATCATTGTTTTACTTATTTCAAATTTTTAATTTTTTTGATGCCAATTTTTAATTATTTCTGATTTTTCTCTCTTCACAGACGTTCAATTCGCAGTACAATATCATATGTCAGTTTGGATAAAAATAACAAAGTCCACCGAAATGATCCTTACGAAAAATTCTGGAAGAGTGGATGAAGGGGAGAACGTAAGAATGGACTGAAAAAAGAGGCGATTTAAACTGAATGTGTGAAGAGAAGGTTCTTAAACTTTTGATGAAATCATAAGTAGATAAATTTAAACGTCTCTTAATAAAATTTTTCTTTAAAAATAATGACAACCAGTGTCTTGTGGAAGATATTCCACTGCTTTTTCATTTTTAAAGAAACATTGAGTTGAGAAATTACATTTTATCAGAATATATTTAAGGAAAATAATATAATTTTTTCATTTAGTGAGATAAATGAAAAACTTTCTCAACTAGATTCTGTACAATTAAATAGTATTTTACTTGTATTAATTATAAGACATTTATTAACGTTTTTAATAATCTCTAAGAAAATATTTTAATTTAAATTTAAATTAAAATTTTTTTTTAATTTATAAATGCAATTAAATTAGGAACATAAAGATAAACATAAAAAATAAGAGGCACACATATGTAGATACAAATAATGATCTCTTTTTATAAATTTCACTTGTTTATTAAGACTGGTACAATGTACAAATGCTTTTATGAATGAAAAGGAAAGAAGACATAATTAACTGCATGTAATGATTTTCATCATTATCGCTGCAATTGCAACTTAAGTGGTTGGAGGATTCAGGGTCTGAAAATTACTGTAAATTATTGAAATAGAATGAAAAATTTTGTCAATAAAAATTTACCAAAAATGAATTAAAGAATCTGTAATTGCTTTTTTAAATTGAGGATTAATGCCTCCTTTCTTGCATCAGAATTTCTGCAATATTGTCCCTTTTTCTTTCAGCCAGATATCTTCTTTGTGCATCATTCATGCCGTGAAAATCAGCATCCTCTTCATTCGGGAAATTCTATTCTTTGGCTAGAATCTCTTCGTTCATCTCGTCATTAAACTCGAGGCACATATTGTGTAGAACAGCGCAAGCTAAAATAATCAAGGGCCCAAACTTAACTTTTTGTAGGTATAAATACTTTAACCTACGACAACGTCCTTTCAAAAGACATAGAGCCCTCTCTATGACCATTTGATTTCTCGACAACGTGGTATTGTAATTGACCTGCGTTGGCGTATGTATGTAGTTAATTAAATATTTTTTCATTGATACAATTACTCCTCAAAAGAAATGCTGTAAGTTTTTAACAGTTCACATACATACCTATACACTTCCTGATTAGCAAAATACCACAGAGCTACACAGAACTGCTTTTCGGGTTCAACAGCGTCAGGTACGTCATTTCTGCTAATCAATGAAGGAGCAATATTTTCCATCACTGTGTTAAATGTCGCTCGTGACATCCTGAAGTGGGATTTAAAATCTGAAGTACAAGAAAACAAGAAAAAATATTAATATAATGTTTGAAAATAATTGCATTATATTCGCGAATCTATTAAATTTTATGTATCGTATTATATTATTCATTTACCTCATACATTATATTATATATTAAATTTTTTTAATTTTTCTTTCAAATAGGGTAAAAGCACCAGTTACCGAGGGTGCATCAGTTCTCGATGATTTTAATTTTATTTTTTCTATAAATAGTATATTATTGAAAATTTATAGACAAAAATAATTTGTAAATATTCTTTATACTTTTAACTATAGGTTCACTTAATAAAATTTTATATAAACGCCACTAAAATAATTATTCAATTAAAATTAAAATGCATTGCTCTCAATTTTACTCGATTCGTCATTTTCTTAATACTTCAGGTTGATGAGAATAGAATTTTAGAAATACAAATTAATTATATTATTAATTATTTTTTCTGTGAAAAAATATTTTTATATTATTGTAGAAAAACTATATTGAGTTTGCATGTAAAAATATATGTTAAAATAATTATTTTATATTTTTTAAAAGCAAATCATCGGTATCTGGTTCCATATTTTAGGTTTTCTCCATTTTTCGAGGTAATGACTCGAGAATTGGTGAATTCACTTTTCTAGCTAATTCACCAGTTCTCGATGGTTCGAAACAGAAAAACAAATAAATTAGAAAGTAGGTTAAGTTATTGTTTATCAAACGTCAAACAGTGATCAGAGAGGCAAAATACTAATAGGTAAGTTATTTTTTATATTACAAATTAGAAAATACATGTTAATTTTGAAACATTTATTTTTCTATTTGTCAGATTTATAATAAAAAGTGTGTGCTTAACATATTTGATTAAATGAGCTATTCTTAAATTTTTTTAAAAAACTTGAATAATTTTCTACTTATTACTGTTTACCAAAAAATGTTTTCAATTTAATATTTTAAACTAAACATTTACAATTTAAAAAATATATTTCTTTCCTGGTAATTTTCTATGATATTTTAATCTTACTAGCGCAGTCGACGGCCGCTTGCGGCCGTCTTCTTTGATTCCGTGTGTCCATTTCATTTTCCTTTGTAATTTTCATCATTTTTTAAAATTGTGATGTCAGCCATAATTTAATTTTCTTTTGTTCTCAACCTATTTTTAACAAAGATTTTTTTACATTATATATAATAATAATAATGCAAAAAACTTTTAGTATTAAGGTCATGTTTTTCAGTGTAACGTATTTCCATAAAAAAGTATATGTGGCATGTGTTCACTGATTAACATAACCTCAACGTCTAAGACACCAGACAATTATACGTTTGAAATTTATATTTTTAAATTTACTTTGTGCTATCTTAAATGTCTACTCCATTTACATTTGTATTTTTTATTCTTTTTAAATAGTGGTTCTATTAATATTTCAATTCTTTTTCGATTTCTTAGTGTAAATAAATATAAATGAAAAATGTATATTTTCGTTTAACAACACATAGAACTTTTAGCATCAACGTCTGAAACACCTTCAACATTTAAAAATTTAATAATATATAATATGTTAATATTCACCAATTTATAAATTTTTTAAATTTATATCTTTGTTTTAAATTTCAACAATTTTTAAAAATGATAAAATTTATAAGAAATTAGAAAAATTTAAATTTTCATAAAAACACACTTGCTCCGTTAATCATAAATTTCTTTGTATACAATATTTTTGACTACGTTAGTTTCTCTTTGATCTCCTAAATATATTCTTAAAGAATCCCAAGATCGAACACGCGATAACGCAACATAAAGTTGTCCGTGATTAAAAACGTCTCGTCTGAGATCTATTCCTATTTTGTTAAAAGTCTACCCTTGTGATTTGTTTATAGTCATTGCAAACGCTATTTTAATTGGAAACTGTCTGCGTCCGAACTGAAAAGGGTAGCTCTCATCACTGTATAAAGTTTTCGGTTAATGAACACTGTTTGACCACATTTATCTCCAGTTAAAATTTTACACTTTAATAAATGGTTTTTCAGTTCCAAAACCTGTAGTCGTGTACCATTGCATAACCCTTCATTTATAGAGAGGTTTCTTATCAACATAACAACTGTATTAACTCTTAATCGTAACTCATGTGGCGGTAAATTTGGAGGATTCAATGTCTCCAAATATTCTGGTAGAAGAGCTTCACCAATTTCATTGTTATCACAGTTTTTAACAGAATTAATACTGGTATAAATTTTTTCTGTTGATACATCTAGTAATTCAACAACTGATTTATTAATATCATCAACGTCAACATTTCTAGCTGATAATATTGCCATTGCAGTAAATTTTTCAAATTCTTTCTTTTTAATTACGTCCTTATAAATATCTTCTGCAATATTTGTGCCTGGAGCAGCTATACAATTTTCTGGTATTTGTTAATCAGTTTCATTGATGTTGGCTGTTCCGTTTCCAACTTGCAGTAAAAATGCTGAAAACTCCTTCTCATGTGGTAAAGAGTGCATATTTTCTGTCAGAGAAAATTGAAAAAAGCAGACAATACGCTACTAAATTTAATGCAGAGATTTACTAATTCACTTCGAGTAGCATTTTGTTTCACTGGAAGCAGTTGTCTAAAATCTCCACCAAGTATCATTATTTTACCTCCAAATGGTATATCACTGTTCATTATATCTCTCAAATTTCGATCAACTAATTGCAACGCATGCCTTGGAGCCATTGGAGCTTCATCCCAAAAAAAGACGTCAATGCTTCTTAAATATTCTGCTTCTTTGGATTGTGCTTTAATAGTCAAGGATGAATCACCATAAATAGCAATTGGCAATTTAAAAGTTCTATGAACAGTTTTACCATGAGGTAACAATGTTGCTGCGATGCCAGTGAATGCCATTGTACAAACTTTCTTTTTCTTACTTTGTAAAAGGTGAATCAAAGTTGTATAAACAAATGTTTTTCCAGATCCTCCAACTCCATTTATAAAAAAGCATCGATTTTGCTGTTATCAATTGTTTGTTCATCATTAATTGTTTCTAAAATAATATCAACAATTTCTTGTTGCTTTTCATTAAGTTTCTGATATTGTTCTGTGACAATTGTTTCATGTTGTTCATATATTATTTGATTTTCAATGTCATCTTCTGTTTCTGTTATTTGTAACATTGATGGAAAATATGTTAAATTTGAATTTTCAGCATTTAGTAATGTATTGATGTGGATGTATGCTTTCTTTTGGGCAAGACTTTCTGACATTGTTCTTGAATAATCTTGAGACAAAGCACTTTTAAACTCTTTCCACAATTCTTCAGGATGTATAGGTTGACAGTGTATTAAAATTCTTACAAATAATTGCCTTAATTGTCTGGGCATCATCCAAACTTCTGCTTCATGCATAGCATTTTTCCATTCATCATCATCTTCTATTAGTCCTAAGGCTAAACACGTTGAAACAAAAGAATCATGTATAACACCATCAACATTTTTTAAATTTTCAAAACTTGTAGCCCCTTTTACTGTTATTAACAGCAATCTCAAATGAAATAATTCAATTTGTGATGGACTTATAGAATACATACGACCTAAAGTGTTAAAATGTTGTTTTCGTTTTTGCCATGTGAAGGCATTAGATGATTTTTTTCCTTTTTGAAATACGTAATGTAAAGGCATTTCCGAATAAGTATAATTTCTAGCTGTAAGATTACGTTCATTTAAAGCAAAATATTCTGTAAGTTCTGAAGGTCTATTCACTGCAGATCTAATCGAATTTAGATCATCTACATTATCTACTATCACTGTTTGCTGGTTTGGCAAGTGAACAGGCAAACGATAAATAGAATGACTTTTACCTTGCAAATTATTGCTCAAAATACGGCCACATGCTTCGGGTGGACTAACGTAACGAGTTTCAATATAGCTTTTAATTTCATCATGTTCAAGAACACCCGTTTCTTCGTTGTCATTATTCTGTGTTTCTTGAATCACAACAGCCGCAGCATCATGTCCTTTGTAAATGTATTTAAAAAGATATTTTACAGCTTTAATACTGGTAACTACTTCAACGTTGATATGGCAATTTAAACGCAATAAAAGTTCTTTGTTATGAGGTACAACACGTTGATTATCATACTGAAAACCATCACGCCGATTGTATCTTTCATTATTTCGTCGCCTGTAATGAGGATAAACGTCTTCATCCATATTCGTTTCATCATTAAATGGTTTTGGATAATTCTTTGAACATTTACCATTTTTATCTAAACACCAGTCTCCACAAGGACCATGAATCATATTAGCATCAATAATTTTATGTAATCTTGTGTTTTCCATAGGATTAGGTATTTCGGCTGAAATAAACTTATCCACAATTTCGGGTGTTGTTATTTTAGAATTTGGTTTTAAATGAACTAACAGATGAACGTGCGGTAATCCACGTTTTTGATACTCAACAACATAAACGTATGCTTGTACTTCTCCAAATAATTTTTCTTTAACAATTATGTTAATCAGTTCTTCTTTTTTCAATTCAAAAACGTGAGATACTAAATCAGGTCTATCTGAAGCCGTTTGTCCTTCTAACAAATTTTCTGTAATTTCTTTCCACTTTGGATTGCAAGTCATTGTAATAAACAAATCAGGTTTACCAAATTTCCTTACTATGCACATTAGGATCCATTGAGCTTACATATTGTAAATCCTTTGTATTTTTATTACGAATTGTAACGTAAGATTCTGGGATTTCTCCGTCTGCAGTAGTAGAAAAGATTGCCGCTACTTCATTAACTCTCTGAAAATTGAATCGTCTCTTATCTTGTTCCTTTCTCAATGTGAACAACAATTGCAGTTCAGGTTCTGTACCATTGTTCTCAGTCACCATTGAATCTAATTCGTCTTTCATCATTTGATATGCATTTGCAAAAGTATTGCCTTGCATCATTGCATTGTGAATAGCACTTAATATGTCTTTGTTTAATGTAGAATTCATGTTCATTCTGATATCTGTTGCTTCATTAGTATCAATTATAAAAAGTTGTCCAAAACTTGGCAATTCTCCGTTGTCAGGATATAAAGAAGTATTAATTTGATAATATATTTGTCCTTGAATTTTAAAGCAAAAAGGTCCAGGCCGTCTATTATTAAATTGTACTAAATTAGCATTAAAAGAAGCAAATGAAAATGTATTATTATACTTACGTATTTCATTGTAAAAGTGATTCGATAAAGGATGAGTACCTTCAAATAATTCTTTTACAATAGCTGGTGGTTCTGGCAATGGCTGTAGGAATACTTTGCCATGGCTACAGCAGTCATTAAATGAATTTCCTTTATTATTTACTTTCTCTGCTTTAAAGTGCTTTGCTTTACAATGAATACATAATACATTCATAGTTCCAAGATAATGTTCAGGAATGTTACTTGAGTTTTCCAAAATAGTAGCAGGGTTATTTACATTATTTAAAGTCAATTCTTGTTGCAGATCATGAACATATTTAACTTTTTCAGAGCTACTTTTTTCATGTGATGTACACTTTCTCTTTCTATTTCCTCGTAAATAAGTCAGATTAGAAACATTGTTATTCGCATTTGCTTTCAATTCTTCTGGTAACAATTCGTCTTTTGCGTGTTTAAAATTCAATTTCTCACTGTTCAAACTTACTGTCAAATTTTGTTTTACAACATTAGTTTCTTTGCACACGTTTCTGCTTGTTGAATTGAGATCGTCTTGTAAAGATAAATTAATTATTTTATTATTATTTGTATTTAATGTTAATTCTGTTTGCAGTTCGTGAACATGTTTAAATTTGTTTTTCGAAATCAATTCCACATGTGATGTAATATTAACTTTCTTCTTATTTCTGTGAACATTTGACGAATTCGGTACATTAGTATTTGTATCTACACGTAATTTATGTCTCTGTTCGTTACTTTCATTTTTAATATTTGTACTTGTTGAAGGTTCAGTATATTGACAATTTATTATCAATGGTTCTTCCAAATTATAAATATGTTTCACCTTATTGGCTATCATATCCTTATTTTGTTTTTTTTTTATTCATAAAGTTTTCTTCCATTTTCTTATTTTGATCTTGATTAAATTTCTTTGTTTTCTTAAAAATGTCTTCTCAATTTGCTATTTTCACTTTTGGTCTGGTGCTCTAATGGTCTAATTGGTCAAATGGTCTAATTGGTCTTATGGTCTCATTTTCTTTGCTAATTTTGTTTCTTATTTATCTGTTAAGGTTTTTTAGTACAAATTTAAAATTAATATGTTATAATTTTTATGTTTTTATTTTGTTGTTGGGGAAAAAAAGAAAAGATAATTTTATAAAACTGTGTGAATTTTCTTTTTATTTACTTAACAACAGTAAAATAATTACAAAAAAAATAATTCTGAATTTATAAAAAAATAACATCAATTTTTTCAATATACATATATAACTTATTGATCATAGAACAATTTCTGGTTTAAACTTCCAGCAGCGAACTCCTGCGGCTTATTTCCTGCAGAAATAAGTTGATTTTCTGCAGCTGATATCTGAAAAATAAAAATTATGAATATTAACATTAAAGTTTTATAAAGTTTTCAACATGATATTCAGTCTTAATATATATAAAATTATTTTAAAAAATATGCTATCATTGGAATATATACATATATTCTATATTTCTCATTTTATGAAATATAACTCACCCAATTTAACTGTTTTCATATTTTTTAATCGAAAAATTGTAATTATTTTATTACAAAAAAAATTTAACAAAGCAAAATTAACAAAAAAGACTCATTTAAAAAATGGAATCGATGAAAGTTTAAAATATTTATTATGTATGTATTGAAAGAAAATAAATAGGAAATTTTAGTATAAATGTTACAATTTAAAGAAATAGTGCAAAAATGACAAAAATATTTCAAATCGTCGGGTTAGCGCAATAAAGTGCCAATTCAGAATCAAAAGCAAGAAGGTTCCTATTCAGGAAAAGAGACAAAAGGTCCCAATTCAGAATTTACATTTTTTTATTAATTTTTAAGTTGCCAACATTGTCAATATTTCAATATTGACAGCTTTCTTAATATAAAAATTGCGTACATATAGTTTTTGAAAATTTTGGTTATAATTATAACTAATTGTTTTTAGAGAAAAACTTGTTATTAATGAAATATTGACACTAATGCCAACTTAAAAATTAGTAAAAAAATATAAATTCTGAATTGGCGGCTTTTTGTCTCTTTTCCTGAATAGGGACCTTTTCTTGCTTCTGTTTCTGAATTGGCACCATATTTAGTTAACCCAACGAAATGTAATTCTTCCAAAATTCAATCATTTCTTTGTTTAAATTTTTAAATAAAATTATTTAAAAAATAATCTATTTTCTTATGAAATAATAAATTAACATTTAAAAATAAAATTTTAAATATTACTACAGTTTAGCAACAAATAAAATTGTAATGATTTCAATTTAAAATTATTTTAAAATTTAAGTATTTCTAAAAATTCATCCATAACGCTTTTAATATTAAATTATTATGTAAAATTTTAACTGAAATTTATTTTTAAATTGAATTCTTTTTACAAAATTTATGTGAATTAAATAATTATTTGAATACAAAAATAAATAATTGATTGAATATCTCTTAAAAATGCATTCTTATAAAGAATTTTATCAAACAATTCTAAAATAATTGAATTCTTCCAAATAATTTTAATAAATATAATAAATAATAAATAAATAAGATGAAACGATTTTATTAAAAATTGAAGAAGAATTTAATGAGGTGTTGTACTTGAGATAAATGATAAAAAATTTAATTAAAAACTATAATTTGTTTAAAGAAATTATCTCTTTAATTTTCTTTTTGAGGTTAAAAAGTAATGTGTTCTCCATCTATTTTGCAGTTTGTTTTTAAAGAATTGAATAGAGAAAACTTTCAGGTTTTTATTTCAGTTCAACAATAAAAAAGTGATATTCTCAATAACTTAATAGAATACTATATTTTTAGTAACGAAAATTCTTAAAAAGTAAAAAGATTTAAAAGAAAACAAAAGAATTCGTGTCAACTTCAGGCACGAAACCAAAAAGCTTGCACATTAAAAATTAAATATGTGCATAAAAGACTTAAGATGACACTAATTCATTTGTTTTTCTTAAATCTCTTCACTTTTAAAAATTTTCCGTTACTAAAAATATTGTATTTCATTAAGGGGAGACTGCGACGATATTTTCAGCTATGTGAAGGAATTAATTTAAATTCTTAAAAAAACAACTTTTATAGTAATTTCTTGAGAGGAATTGAATGGTCGTTAAATAAAATCAGTCAGAAAATATTTTGACCTTTTTTAAATTTTTATTTTCCTTAAAAATCGATAGATTTTAAAATCCATGCGTAGTTTTGTAGAAAATATGTTTTTGTATCGATAAAAAAAATTGCGAAATGAAAAAATTTATTTTTACTATTTTTAAAGCATTTATTTTTGAAAAAAAGATTGTGTATTGGTTGAAAAAGCTAAGAATTCCATTGTTATCCATCTTTTTTAATTAGGAACTCATTTGTTAATTTTTCTAACTAATTTCAACTCATAATTTTTTATTTTTTTTAATATTTTAAAATTATGATTTGAAATTAGTTAATAATTAGTAAAAATTAACAAAATTAATAATAAATAAATTAATAATTAAAAATTAAATTAATAAAATTAAATAAAATTAATAATTAGTTAATAATTTTAAATAAAATTAAATAAAATTAATAATTAGTTAATAATTTTAAAAAATATAAAAAATATTAAAAATTATTATAAAATTATGATTTGAAATTAGTTAGAAAAATTAACAAATGAGTTCCTAATTAAAAAAGATGGATAACAATGGAATTCTTAGCTTTTTCAACCAATACACAATGTTTTTTTCAAAAATAAATGCTTTAAAAATAGTAAAAATAAATTTTTTCATTTGGCAATTTTTTTATGGATACAAAAACATATTTTCTACAAAATTACGCATGGATTTTAAAATCTATCGATTTTTAAGGAAAATAAAAATTCAAAAAAATCGGACAAGTGCGAGTTACACTCACACTGAAATCGAGGGTTCCGTACTCGAAGCGAACTTATTTGGTATAAAAACAAATGTTTAAAAAATATGTGTTGTATGACAACTAATATAAGTGATACAAAAAGGAACAATTTTGTAAAATTCAAGAAAATTGTTCCTCTTCGTATCACTTATATTAGTTGTCATACAACACATATTTTTTAAACATTTGTTTTTATACCAAATAAGTTCGCTTCGAGTACGGAACCCTCGATTTCAGTGCGAGTGTAACTCGCATTTGTCCGATTTTATTTTTTAAAAAATATTTTACTAAAAAAATATAAGAAACATAATTTTATTTCAACTCGCAATATTTTTATTGTATTTACATTTTAAAAATATATTGAATATTAAATTTTATCTTTCTAAGTCAAAAAGAGATAAAACTTAAGATATTGATATAAGGCTAGTTGCCGCTTGTCAAGGAAAAATCGAAAGTCATCTAAAAAATAAAATTTGTTTATTAATTCCAGAAAAATCAACTCCAATCATCCTCGTTATATTTTTTTTGTAATCTACACGTAAAAATA